GGCCCGAGGCACTACATCAACCTGATCACCAGGCAGAGGTACAAGTACACATCTCTGTACTCTTGACTAAGTACATACACGGCCCTGAGGCACTACATCAACCTGATCACCAGGCAGAGGTACAAGTACACAACTCACTGTACTCTTAACTAAGTACTACACGGCCCTGGGCACTACATCAACCTGATCACCAGGCAGAGGTACAAGTAAGCAATCTCTGTACTCCTATCCAAGTACTCTTACTTTTACTGTACTCCTAACCAAGTACTCATACTGTACTCCAGTACCAGTTTGAGGTACTTCAAGGTTCTTTATGTGTCAAACGAACATAGCTCCAGTGTAGTTCAAGTCACTTTATACGTATACTTCACCTCTATTTGGAAGCAAATATCAAACTTTGTATTTGACTAAACCGCGCTCAGGTAGCCGCTGATACCTGTGAGAGTGTCGTCCCCCCCCCCCCCACAGCCTCTCAGCGATACCTGTGAGAGTGTCGTCCCCCCCCCCCCCCCACAGCCTCTCAGCTGATACCTGTGAGAGTGTCCTTCAGACCCCCCCCCCCCCCCCCCCCCACAGCCTCTCAGCTGATCTGATTACCCTCCCCTCTCCTCCAGGCCTCACATCAATCACCTCCGTCTGAACAAAGACCCCAAACCCAGTTACTGAGGGTCTGCTGGTGTGAAATATGGTTTCATCTGAAGGAGAGCCAGCTGCATGAAACCTAATAGCGGTTTGATATTCAGATCCTGGGTTTAGTGGAGCCTCGTGAAGCCAGGAGGAGTCAATCAGTTCAGAGGGGGGGGGGGGGTTCAGAGGTTTATCAGATCAGGAGCTGAGGCTGGATGAAAGGGTTCAGAGCAGGAATATCTACTGCAGAGCATTAAGCATGACGGACAGGGGAAAGGGTTTCTTATGGAAATGTCCAGGTTTGAATGTAAATCTTTGACCTTTTTCTCTTATTGAAAACCACGATGTCAACACCTCTGACTCCAACACCTCTGACTCCAACACCTCTGACTCCAACACCTTACTCCAACCTCTGACTCCAACACCTCTGACTCCAACACCTCTGACTCCAACACCTCTGACTCCAACACCTCTGACTCCAACACCTCTGACTCCAACACCTCTGACTCCAACACACTTCAGAGCTTCACCCTTCACTAAGAGCCGCTTCAGGACTCATTCAACTTCTCACTTCTCACATCCGCACACTCAATGGAGACATATCCTACATTTGTCTTGTTCTACACTCGACTTGCTTCTCTTTCTAGCAGTGTCTCTGCCATGTTCGGTAAGAACACACTTTTATGACATTTGATCCGGTTTGTTGGCCTCTGACTTTTAATGGAGACAAAATGGGACATCTTTCTGATAGAGTAAAGCAGAAGAAACTCCGTTTAGTGGTCAGCACTGAGACTCTCTTTGGTAAGGGTCCTCATCACTTTGATCAGACCAGCTGTAGGTTACAAGCTTCAGGTGTTTTCTGAAGACCCACATGACGTTACTTTCAAGTATTACAAATATATACTCAATCCAGTTCAATCCAGCGTCTTCTGAAACTTCAAAATGAACTCTCTACCCTGGAAATAAACCTGATTCTGATTCTCGATTAACACCGGATCACCAAAGACCTGACATTTTGGTCACTTTGAGCTTTGAAACCTGTCCTTTTGGATCCTGAGAGAAGGATTTTTATTTAAGGGGTTCAGCATCCTCAATGATGGCCCCAAAACACCACTCCATTGTAGTCCAATTGATCCCAAAACCCTAACCCTAAGTGTGTGAGGAAAACCCTCTTCATCTGGTTATAACTCTAATACCTCTACCAAACTGTAGACTATTGCTATGTTGAGCAATTTCCTAAATTAGACAAGATGTAGAATACAAACTTCAGGTGTTTTCTGATGACCCACATTGCAGATAATCAATCTGCCCCAATCCACTCATTCCAGCGTCTTCTGAACTTCACAATGAACTCTAAATGATTAACACCGGCTCACAAAGACCTGACATTTGGTCACTTTGAGCTTTAAACTGTTCCTTTTGGATCCTGAGGAGAGGGATTTCAGAAAATGGGTTCAGCATCCTCAATGAAGCTCCAAAAAACAGTCCATTGTGGTCCAATTTATCCAAAACCCTAACCCTGTGTGTGTGAGGATCATCTTTTGGTCTGGTTATAACTCTAATACCTCTTACCTAACCCCATTGTTAAGACATCGTCCAAAGAGGTGCTTTTAATGCTATAACACAGCACGGTCATCCCGGAGGGCTCTGAAGGACGGATGCTAGGTGGTCTCTCCCACGTCCATCCGGAGGGCTCTGAAGGACGGATGCTAGGTAGGTCTCTCCACGTCCATCCGGAGGGCTCTGAAGGACGGATGCTAGGTGGTCTCTCCACGTCCATCCGGAGGCTCTGAAGTACGGATGCTAGGTGGTCTCTCCACGTCCATCCGGAGGGCTCTGAAGGACGGATGCCTAGGTGGTCTCTCCACGTCCATCAGGAGGGCTCTGAAGGACGGATGCTAGGTGGTCTCTCCACGTCCATGCCGGAGGGCTCTGAAGGACGGATGCTAGGTGGTCTCCTCCACGTCCAGTCCGGAGGGCCTCTGAGAGGACAGGATGCTAGGTGGTCTCTCACGTCAACTAAGAAAGGGCTTTGATGGATGATGCATAGACTGCAGGTTACATTATGAAAGATACCTGCGTCAGACTGCAAGAGACAAAACAGAGACGAGAGGCAGATGTGCAGAAACACTGAGACGATAAGAGACGATAAGAGACGATAAAGCCTCTCAGACGATCCGTTATCAGAGCGGAGAACATCTGACTTCCTGATGTTTCAGCGCCTCACACTGAGACACAGCTGTGATGCTTCCTGCAGGGTGTGTGTGTGTGTGTGTGTGTGTGTGTGTGTGTGTGTGTGTGGTGTGTGTGTGTGTGTGTGTGTGTGTGGTGTGTGTGTGTGTGTGTGTGTTGTGGTGTGTTGTGTGTGTGTGGTGTTGTGTGGTGTGTGTGTGTGAGGATGTGTGTGTAACCAAGCATAGGATTGGGTGCTGGGGCTCAGCGGGAGGAGGAACAGGTGGTTGATGGGAACACTGAGGATCTGCAAGTCGGGCTGCAGGGTTGAATAGCGCTATTACACACTCATAAACGCACACACACACACACTCATAAACACACACACACACACACACACACACACACAAACACAAACACAAACACACACCGGAGGAAGTAAGCTGTTAAACGGCTGTGTTGTTTCACATTGGGACGCCCCCCGGGTCTGAAATCATCAGATGATAAAACTCATCCAGACTCTGAAATGGCATCCTCTCACACACACACACACACACACACACACACATACCATGTATACATCACTTCAGGGGACATTACATTGACTTACATGCATTTCCTGGAGACTTATCCTAACCTTAACCATAACCAACACATGCCTAACCCTAACCCTTACCCTAACCCTAACCCTTACCCTAACCCTTACCCTAACCCTTACCAAGTCTTCACCCTAAAATGAATGATCCCCACACGTGACAGTGTAAACAGATGGAGGTCCCCACAAGGATAGTAATGCTAGGCCACACACACACACACACACACACACACACACACACTGAATCAGACTGTGACATGGAGCCCACATATTAAACAGGTGTGAGAGGAGACAGCCAGATGTACAGTGTCTCTTGAACGCATCACTCCTTTCTCTTTGTTAACCTGAAGGTGTTGTCTGTCAGGTAAATGATCCACGAAGGCTCAAACGTTAAAATCCAATCATCAAATACCTGTTGAGATATTTAATAACAGCTCAGCTGGGATTCCTCTCCTGCTCATCATGAATATCTGTGACCAATTAGACTCTAATTACCTAAATACCTGTGTGTGTGCAGGTATGGGAAGCGTTCTGCTCAGGAGGACGTGGTCGCTGAGATGCTGTTTGGAGACAACCAGAGGTCAAGGTGAGGACCATCAATAACATCTCACCTGTAATCAAACAGTGTTCATTACAGTGAACTGATGCTGCCTTCAGGGACCAACACACACACACACACACACACACACACACACACACACACACACACACACACACACACATCTGCAGCTCTTTGTTCAGTAGAAAAAAAGTCAAAAAAATGATTTGTAGAAAAGGTGTTATTTTTAAGATCTTTTGAAGAAAGTCAGAATTTCGAGATTTTTTGAAAAAAGTCAGAATTTCGAGATTTTTTGAAAAAAGTCCAAATGAGATGATTTTGAGAAAATGTTGGGGATAAAACAGACACACCTGCAGCTCAGTGTTCAGCATACAGGAGTGTGATTTTTTCAAAAAATTCTATTAAAATTCAAAGATTCAAAGGTGTTATCATCAGACGCTCAGCAGCTACAGCTTCTTCTGACCCAAGCTCCTCCAACAAGGCAACATATATAATAAAATACAAAAATAAGAAATAGTGCAAGAAGTCTCTATGCATGTAAATAGATGATGAAATGTACAAGAAGTCTCTATGCATGTAAATAGATGATGAAATGTACAAGAAGTCTCTATGCATGTAAATAGATGATGAAATGTACAAGAAGTCTCTATACATGTAAATAGATGGTGAAATGTACAAGAACAGAATGTGAAATGTACAAGAACAGAATGTGAAATGTACAAGAACAGAATGTGAAATGTACAAGAACAGAATGTGAAATGTACAAGAACAGAATGTGAAATGTACAAGAACAGAATGTGAAATGAAATAATGTTCATTAAGACAACATTAAATACGGTTTATTGCGGTGATAACTATATATATAAATCAGTAGAGTCTGTGTTTGTTCTGGTGTGAATGTCCATCATTTGTATTTAAAGATTCCTCTCTGTGTTCCTCCACAGGTACGAGGACTCCCTCATGTGGTGATCCTTCTCCTCCCATGATGCACCTGGCCACTCGTGCCTCTCACCTCTGACCCCGACTCACATCTCACTCATTACAACACAACTGTACATAATTTACTATTGATATAAAACAATATATATGAGATCAGAGCTATTAATCAGAGGTGTACCTGTGTCCGTCTATGTCTCTGTGTGTGTGTGTGGGGGTGTGAGGGTGTGAGGGTGTGTGTGTTGTGTGTGTGTGTGTGTGTGTGTGTGTGTGTGTGTGTGTGTGTGTGTGTGTGGTGTGTGTGTGTGTGGTGTGTGTGTGTGTGGGTGTGTGTGTGTGTGTGTGTGTGTGTGTGTGTGTGTGTGTGTGTGTGTACTGTTTATAGAGGAGACCTCTTGTTTAGCTGTTGCTGATTGTAAAAGTATCGTCAGAATAAATTAATAAAATCAGTTCTATGTGATGACAGCGTGTTGATGAGTGGGTTTATGTGATGGAACTCTGATAGCCTCAATAAGTTCAGAAACAATTTCAGGTTTGAAGTTTTTTTCCTAATTTTAAGATTTTGATAATAAAGTCAACATTTTGAGATTTTGAGAAAAAGTCAACATTTTGAGAATTAAGTTAACATTTTGAGATTTTGAGAAAAAAGTTAACATTTGGGGAAAAGACAGATTTTTTTTGAAAAATCTGAATTCTGAGATTTTCAGTAAATGGTAAAAATGACAGTCTATGAGGAGCAACGAGAAGAACCAGAACATATGAGCCGGACTGCAGACTGAAGCTCATGAGGAAACTATAGAATAACTCTCACTGACAGAACACAAATCTGAAAATTGAGAATTTTGAGAAAAAGTCTGAATTTTGAGAAAAAGTCTTATTTTTTAGATTTTCAAAAAAAAGTTAGCAATGTGAGTTTTTCCGAGAAAGTCCGAATTTGAGAAATAAGTCATAATTTTTTTATTTCTCGAAAAAATTCAGAATTTTTAGATTTAAAGAAAAAAGTGAATATTTTGAGACTTTCAGAAAAATTCAGAATGTTCATATTTTGAGAAAGATTTTGAAATGAGAAAAAAAAGTCAGAATATTGTGATTTTCAGAAAAAAAAGTTTGACATTTTGAGAAACATTCAGAATTTAGAGATTGAATTCTTGTAGATCTCTTCTACATCAACATGTGTCCCCTCTTCTTCATGTCTCTTCTACATCAACATGTGTCCCCTCTTCCTCATGTCTCTTCTACATCAACATGTGTCCCCTCTTCCTCATGTCTCTTCTACATCAACATGTGTCCCCTCTTCCTCATGTCTCTTCTACATCAACATGTGTCCCCTCTTCTTCATGTCTCTTCTTCATCAACATGTGTCCCCTCTTCTTCATGTCTCTTCTACATCAACATGTGTCCCCTCTTCTTCATGTCTCTTCTACATCAACATGTGTCCCCTCTTCTTCATGTCTCTTCTACATCAACATGTGTCCCCTCTTCTTCATGTCTCTTCTACATCAACATGTGTCCCCTCTTCTTCATGTCTCTTCTTCATCAACATGTGTCCCCTCTTCTTCATGTCTCTTCTTCATCAACATGTGTCCCCTCTGTGTAGAGAGACTCTGAAAGTTTCAGGAACAAAGATTCTCTCTATTTTTGATCCATTTCTATAAAAACCTGTCTGAAAATGAGCTGATCAGATTTTGGCCACTTTGTGATGTCATAACATTTCATTTCATTTCAAACCTTTATTTAACCAGATGGTCCCATTGAGATCATAGATCTCTTTTTCAAGGGAGACCTGCAGCATATAGGTTCCACATGAAACATAAAACAATAAAGGACATCATACATTATATTTACAGGATACATTTACATACTTATAGACATTTACAAATACCCATAGTATCAACGAGCATTTCATTTAGCCTGGCTTTAAAAACATGCAGAGGAATGAGATTGCTCAGTTTCAATTCTTGCTGTAGATTGTTCCAAGCAAGTGGAGCTGCACATAAGAGCTGTCTCACCTAAGACAGTCCTTGCTCTTGGCACATCTAACAAGACTACATCATGTGATCTCAGACAATAGCTGCTTGCAACTCTCTGTGTTATCAGAGAGCAGATAGAATACGGGAGTTTACCCAACAAAGCTTTATAAATAAACGTGTACCAGTGACTGAGCCTCCGTACAGTAAGTGATGGCAGACCTGCCTTGGCATACAGGGTACAGTGATGAGTGAGTGCTTTACAATTAGTGACGAATCTCAGTGCGCTGTGATAGGCGGCATCTAACTTGTTCAGGCAATGGGCAGGTGCATTCATATACAACAAATCACCATAGTCCAGCACAGGTCAAAAGGTCACAGAGCCTTTTCCTGGCCTCAAGCGAGAAACAGGACTTGTTTCTGAAAAAGAAACCTAGTTTAACCCTCAGCTTTTTAAGCAGATTATTGACATGAAGTTTAAAAGAGAGACAATCATCAAGCCAGATACCAAGGTATTTATAATAGATAACCACTTGGAGTACTTGTCCTTGCATAGTAACAATATCTAAAACAGGCTCTGGTGTCTTTTTAGCTTTTGAAAAGAGCATTACTTTGGTTTTTATCAACATTTAAAAGAAGCTTAAGTTCAGAGAGCTGAGTCTGAATAATGTTAAAAACAGCCTGTAATTTAACACCAGCCTCCTTAATGGAGGGACCTGCACAGTACATCACGGTATCATCCGCATAAAAATGTAAAGTAGCTTCATCCACATTTTCACCTAAACTATTGATGTAGATGGAGAATAAAAGTGGACCTGAAACAGAACCTTGAGGAACACCATTAGTAATGTTTAACCACTCAGAAGACAGCCCATCAAAATGAACACATTGGGACCTTTCAGAGAGGTAGTTCACAAACCACCCCACTGCATGGCTGGATAAGCCAATACTGAGTAGCCTCTGCTTTAAGATGCGATGATCGACGGTATCAAACGCTTTGGAAAGGTCAATAAATAGAGCTGCACAGCTCTGCTTATTATCTAAAATACTTGTAATGTCATTCACCACTTTCATTGTGGCAGTGATGGTGCTATGTTGCTTTCTGAAGCCTGACTGATGTTTAGACAGGATGTCATTGTTACATAGAAACTCCTTTACCTGTTCACTCACTAGGCGTTCAAGAACCTTAGCCAGAACTGATCATTTCGAGATTGGCCTATAGTTATTTAAAACAGTTGCCTCCCCTCCTTTCAGCAAAGGCAGGACATACGCTGACTTCCATACTTTAGGAATTGTGTTTGTGCTGAGGGAGAGGTTAAAAAGAGTAGTGAGAGGTGGAGCAATAAAATCTGCAGCTATCTTTAAAAAGAAAGGTTCCACGTTGTCCGGGCCGGCCGGTTTCTTAGGATCTAACTTGGATAAAGCTTCATGAACAACATTTACAGTAAAAGGAGTAAAACTGAAAGTGTTTTCCAGAGCACATTGTTCAGAGTCACAGACTGTGGTGTTCACAGAAGCAGAGTTAGTCACAGAATCAAACAGAGAGCCACAGGACACAAAATGCTCATTAAAGCAATGTAACATAGTGGCCCTGTCCGATATAGAGCCAGATGCTGTGGTAATGCACGGAGGTAGCTCATTACGGATCTCACCGGTGGATAGCGATTTTATGGCTTTCCAACATTTCCTAGGATTATTTAGGTTCTCTGTGGTAACTGACAAATAGTACTTCGACTTAGCACTTTTGACATGTGAAGTGAAGCTATTTCTTAGCTGCCTAAAACGCAGCCATTCTACCTCTGAGCCTGATTTCCTAGCCTTTGCCCAGGCCTTGTTTCTCTCATGTAGGAGACTGGACAGTTCAGCAGGAAACCAAGGATTGTCTCGTCCCTTTACTCTAAAAGTACGTAGGGGTGCATGTCTATCAATGATCTCCATAAAACCAAGATACAAATAAGACCATGCAGTTTCTACATCAGCACACAGATCGATTTTTCCCAAATCAAAGCCAAACAGATCATGAACAAAACCCTGCTCCACAAAATGTTTGTTGTCTCTCTTACTGATAATACGAGGTTTAACCTTTTGGACCTTAGTGTCCCTAATTGTGGCTACAGCACAGTGGTCTCTCACATCATTCACAAATACTCCCACAGATGGGTATTTATAGGGAACATTAGTTAGAATGAGATCAATTAGGGAGGATTTATTAGGGGACTTAATGTTAGGGGCGAGTAGGACTGTCAACAATCTGAGTAACATTCAGAGAGATACAAAGGTTTTTAAAATCCTCTGATACTGCAGTTAACCAGTCCCAGTTCAAATCTCCAAGTAGCACTATTTCCTTGTAGTCTAGTTGTGATAAAAGTTTTGCTAGTGAAGACAAGGAGTCCTTGACAGCTGAGGGGGGTCTGTAACAGCCCACCACCATGACTTGTTGCCCCTTTGCCACTTCTATATTTAAGGCTAAAAATTCTAATTGCTTACTGACAGATTTGGAGATCAATGTGGTTACACTGAACTTATTCTTAACATAAATGGCAACGCCACCACCTTTATTAGGCCGGTCGGTACGATACACATTATAGCCATTTCAGGATATGTCAGAGGCCAAAATAGTTTTATTTAGCCATGTTTCTGATAACACAATGACGTCAGCGTCAGTCGAGCTTGCCCAAATGCGGACAGAATCAAGTTTACCTAACAGACTGCGCACATTCAAGTGGATGAGACCCAACCCAGACCTAGCTTTAAAATCAGCAGGAGTAGCGATCTGACTACTACTACTGGGCGGACCAGGGTTAGGTTGAACATTTCCTGACAGTAATAACAACAACAAAACCAGGCATCTTTTCCTCTTAAACGACACACATACATTGTCATCTACTTTAGAATCACCGGAAACGTCTGCGAGAGTTTGATTTGAGCTTAAGAAGCAGTCCTGAAGTACCATCATCGCAGGAAAACAAGAAAGACAAACATATTTTGTCGAGCAGATTGTCTGCGACAAGGTGACCGGTAACTGTTTGTGTAACACATCCGACCCTTTGCAGGGGATGCCCACTGCGGGTGGCAGAACAGACCTGAATCCAGTAGGCTTCTCAGAATGACTAGAGATCTTCTCATAGTCCAGAACAGACCTGAATCCAGTAGACTTCTCAGAATGACTAGAGATCTTCTCATAGTCCAGAACAGACCTGAATCCAGTAGACTTCTCAGGATGACTAGAGATCTTCTCATAGTCCAGAACAGTTAACAGGCACAGCAGAATCCCGATATGGGCCATTTTCCAGACCAGCA